AACCAAAATAAACAGCAAAAAAGTGCCCACACGCAGGATCGAACTACGGACCTTCAGTTTACAAGACTGACGCTCTACCACTGAGCTATACGGGCCATTTGACAACGTTTCATACATACTCTTATATAGACTTTAACATAATATAAGTATTAATGAAAGTACATGACTTTAGGAACCTAGATTTGGCGCAGAGGGAAACTAAATATCCTACAATCACTAATCAGGCTGACGTTGCTGGGGAGTCTCTGTAACAAGAAATTGTATTTGTTCCTCTACGGTCTACCTGGACACAAGTTGCAGTATAAAACTCTAAATTCATGGATAAATAATGGGAAAAAAAATTGAATAGATTCTTGTAACATGAATCTCTCATGGATAATTAGTGTCATATTTTTAGAGAATAATATTAAGCCACCAGTGGCACTGACAACCTTTCAAGTTTCTCAAATATTTTCATGAACAAAATAGATTCATATTGCAACTTGCAAACCATTTAATTTTTTTTTTTTTGTAAACTTGCAAGCTTCAGTTTAAAGTACATCGTTGAAACGAAACAAAGACATATTTTGCAGAGAATTTCACATGATAAAAAGGATATTTTCTTTAGGTAAAAGATAGATAATAAAGCTCTTATTATTATTATTTAGGAACTCTTACTATCCCTAGACCTAGTGGCCACAAGCACTACGACTCGGACCAGATACTAACTTACGACCCGACAAAACATCATCCTTAGCCACTCTCTTCGCGTACTTTCCCAATCCACCGATCTGGTCACAACCACGATAAGGCACCATTGCCATTGAACACGTCAAGTAAACGAACAAGAGTAACACAACTTTGAGAAGCTTCTTCATCTTCAAAATCTTCTACTAATATACACTTTTTAACTTTTCATTTCCAACAATTAACCATGCATATTTATACGGTTTTTGTTTTTTATGTGGGTTAATGCATATTTAATGAATTAGGTTTATTCTATTTGACTGAGTATACTATTGGAGTATAATTTTTTTAGGTTTTTATACGTTGTGTTTAATGCTGCTTCATTTATTTTCATTATCTGAGTCTGGCTCTGAAACTTAAAGTAAAATGTAAATCAATGTATTTTTAGGCTAAGTAGATTATATGAATACTTTTATAATTCCAATTAAATGAATTAGGGTGATTTCGAAAAATTGTTCTTACATGAGAAGATAACATTTGGATAAGGGTTACACTCACACACAATAATATACTAGTATTTTTACTAGAATCTTCAATAAACCTTTTCATTCTCTTTATGTCTATAAATTTGATTTTTGTTTATTCGATTGGGCAAACAGAAAGAAGGAAAGTTAAAAACGAGTTTGAGGGAATCAGTTTTGTTCGTGGTGAAAGAATGCAAATAAAATGAAACTTAAAAACAATTTCTTGATTAATTAAGGAGAATATTTTGGAAAATGGGATTGAAATTAAATTAGTAGAATGCATGTGACTCTTAGGAATTCAAAGTATGAATGAATATGTATAAAAGCTAAATAAATAAATGTACCTAGAAAAAATATAAATCTTTGAAAAATCCTAAAAGTCGATCCGATTACAAAAGTTAACACCTTTTGATAGTTATTTTGGTTTTCCAAGTCACAAATAAAAAAACTATACTTCTATCTCACAAAGAAGGTTATGAGTTTAAACATACACAAAAAACATTTTTGTGTTCCAGTCTTCTGCTCCTTCATTCAAAGTCATTACACTGACTGTTCTCAGTACAGATCATAATATCTGAACCAAACGTAGTTACAGCATCACGACCATAACCGTTACCTACAGAACCAAAAGGCCCTTCATCATCACTATCTATATCTCTCGGAGTCACACGGTTCTGATACCGTCTTCGGTTAATCAAGAACACATTGAAGTAGTAACTCACAAGTTGCTCTCTCTTCTTCCCTCGGAAACGCCTCGCCGCATTTTCCCAAAAACACTGAGAATCCGAAATCATCATTTCTTTAAACCTCTTCTCTTCTCTCTCTGTCCATCTTAATGACACTTCTTCTCCCATTTGATTGAATCTCCAACGGAAAAAGACATTGCCGAGATCACGTTTTAGTTCCATTCTCTTCTCTGCAATGTGGAATCTAATGCATTCAACAGAACCAGAGAGGGGGATATCACAGCTGCAACAATCTGGCCTTCCTTTTCCAATCAAATCGTTACCGAGCGTATGATGATCTAAAGATTCTTTGTTTTCCAATGGCCATATACGGGTTCCTAACCATTTAGTATCGCTATCTAATCCGGATTCTGTCCATTCGTCAACTCGTGCTTGGAAATGACGTCCTACAGACACATACCTTCTAGGGATCTCTGGTTTGTTTGGCTCTGTTATTGCATTTGACACTTGTACGTCTGCGGCTCCGGATGTTCCTGCAACAAGATCTGTTGACGTGCCTGATGTTCCTGCAATAAGGTCTGTTCTCTCAGGAGCTGTGGATATACAAGAAGTGATCAATTCTCTGCAATTGCTAGATCCTGATTTAGTAAGAGAGACCAAACTTCCATTGCTACACAAGCGAAAACTGGCTTTGGATAAATTTGGACGCCTTATGCTGTATCTTAACCGTCCTGTTGACTTTCGATCGTCTTCGTACATTGAAGGATGCATAATTTGGTAACCCTGCAAGGTATTATCATGAGTTAGGCTATCTCACAGGTAGAAGAAGAAAGCAAACTTAGAGCAGCAGTGACAGTAGTTATTTCAAATGTATACTAGTTGCTAGTGTCTAACTTAGCAGTAGCCAAAATAAACTGAATTCAGAAACGGTTTTATAAAAAAGGCGAGAAACTACAAAAAAAAAGACCATTTTGAAGGCAAGATAAAGTAAGATAAAGCAGTTTTGAATACAGTACCAGAATCAGAGCATTTTTATATCTGGATTCAAAATCGTCTCTTTGAATCAGTAAAGCTTTCTTTGCTCTAGTCACTTGGATCCAACACTCCTTTCCAGTATACTGCTTCCATCTTGACCAGTGTGGTAATACTCCAATGGAAGGATCATGAGGAGATCTTGCAACCAAAGTCAGCCACTTCAACATTTCCGGTAAATCTCCTTGCTTATCCGAGGACAAATCTAAACCTTTCTCCTCGTCGCATTCAGAATCATCACTAAGAACAACACAAGACGCTTCTGGT